AAAAAAAAGAAGAATCAGTTATCTTTGCTAACTCGTCTGGTGCACATAGAGAATAAATCGGAAAATCATACTGAAGAAGGTTGGGATCAAATCCTTCAGCAGCCATCTTCTGCTTCACAGCCATCAAAGGTACGCCGAACTGCAGCATCTTATGAAATTTGATCAATTGTGGGTCCACAGTTGGTTTCACTTCACTTTCTTCCGCCTTAATCCGCGTTTGGTCTTGAACATCCTCTTCTCCAACTTCTTTTGGCGGTTTTTCTTCAGTTCGCAAATCTTGAATGTATCCAGTTCGCGGTGTGACAACTGGATTCTTGATATCAACAGCTGAAAAGAGCATAAATGAGGGTCAGGTCATGAATATCGTCAAACGTTTGTGTTCGATGGATTTGTAATAGACGAATTCTCGTAACAATAGTCATCGTTTTCCGATTATGGTTCCAAATATCTTTCAGAAAAATTTAAAAAACATTGAAGAGAGGGCAAAAAGTGCATTCAGATATTTGAAAAATTGGGTTTACATGATCACCTGCCTCGCTCAACTTTTCCAAAATGTTCTAAAGGCATCCCCTGAATTTCTTGAACATCTCACAAATACTTTTTTTCTCAAAGAACGTTCTGATCTCAGCAATTTTGGCGTTAGTGGTGTTGAGTATGACTTAAATATCTTGAACATCTCACAAACACATTTTCTCACAGAACGTTTTGATCTCAGCAATTTTAGCGTTGGTGGTGTTGAGTATGACTGAAATGTATCATGGTGAGCACGATTTTGTTAACGTTCGTTCTGAAATGGAAGAAAATCGTTGGAAAATAAAAACCGTCTTCATCAGATTTTGCGTCATTCATCCCGCGAAGATTTGAGGGCTTGAAAACTACATTAACCAAAGAACTTCATCCCACAAAACCAACTAAATTATTTAGATGAGCGAAAAAAGGTACCATTCTCCACAGGGTTCGCTGGATTTCGGGCGTCGATTCCAGGGATTGAAGCCAGCTTAAGAGAGATAACAAAAAACGGACAATTCGTCAAATCGTACATGGAGACGGAAAAAAATGAACGGAACAGACCTTATTCTCAAGCAAACTCAACGACGTTTCCATCCTGTCCATTTGCACACAAATGGCGTCCAGTTTGAGAGTACACGTCTCCGCCACTCTGTTCAAACAGTTCACGGTCTCCATCAAATAGTGATTCACAAACGCCTGCGTCTTCTTCTGTGACACCGGCGGCATCTACATGGAACAACGCCGAAACATTTCACAACACTCCGATATTTTCAATTTAAATTTGCGAATGAACGTACTGTCTCCAGATCAGCTCCCGCCAGCTCCGAAGTCATCGTGAATCAGCAATAAAAAAAAAACGCAGCTCTGCAGTGGGGGAAAATATAAAATGACCAGTGTCCTTGAGTCGTATGCCAAGAATTTGCATGATACACGAATGATTCTAGCGAAACACAAGTTTTCTGCAAATTTTTTCTTTACCAGCGATCGCAAAGCACAATGAACACTTCAGTTTCGCGTCCGAAACAAGGGACAACAGGACGGATGTTTTCGTAATCACAATATTGAAAAAAACTCACGTATGTTTTGACTAGTTGCGAAAAATGATAAAAATGGCCGAAACTTCAGAATCAAGAAGCATATGAACACATTCTTAAAGCGCTGAATATCCAGCAATTGCATCTGGAGGAGATCGGCAATATATCTTGAATTCTTTTCGTTGCAAAGATTATCTAGTTTTTCCACAACCTCAGGCTAGTCAGGAAGATATACACTCAAATCAGCGAATGGTATACAGTACTTTTACCAACTGTTTTTTGAAAATTCATAGAAAGGAAGCAATTCTTCAGCTGCAATTACATCTTGGTGAAGACTTATCTTCGGCTTGAATCATATTTTTGACATGAACACCACGGGAACTCATTTCAACGCACAAAAAAACGCATACACAGACCCGAGCCTTGTTTCTTTCTTTTCAAAACAATTCAAACCCAGAACCCATGGGTCTCGGAGCAGGGATAGCCTTGGACCTGAACGCGAGTATCTGTAAAGTCAGGTTGTCAATCTTGGCAGCCTGGGCCTCAATTTTGTACAGCAGTGGCCCGAGTTGGTCGTTGA